TACTAAGTCTACGTATGCTTCGATATAACAGTAAGTGAATAGGGGATGCAAAATTTAGGATCATTTGTCTTTAATGGATTAATCTGGGAGAGAAACTTACCTGGTGCTAGGTAACCACGTGTGCCTGCAAGCATGGTCCAATTTGATGAATCCGGCTTCAGTAGTCGAGCAATTCCAAAGTCGGAAACACAAGCCTTGAATTCGGAATCAAGTAGGATGTTGTTGCTGGTAATATCTCGATGAACGATAGGCGGTGTGCAGTCATGATGCATGTAGAACAGAGCACGAGCAACATCCTTCACGATGCTCACCCTCTTCACCCAGTCCAATTCGGCTGCAGTATCACTTCGGAGGACAGATCCCAAACTTCCTCTCTCCATGTACTCGTACACAAGAAATTTGTGTCGGGGAGAGGAGCAGAACCCGTAAAGCTTGACGATATTGCGATGTCTGATTTGAGTACGAGTTTGTATCTCATTTTGAAAGGGTTGCTCGTCGAATGTACCTTCAGTGTCCGGTAGGTGAATCTTCTTCACCGCTAGCAGCTCCCCACTTGCTAACTCTGCTCTGTAGACACTGCCGTATGCACCGCTTCCGATACAGTTTTTGGCATCGAAATCTTCGGTGGCTTCGATGATGTCCTTGTATACATCTCTTCCATCAAAATTCAATATAGAGAATGCACCTTCTATGATGTGATTATCATCGACAGGTACCGGCTGCTTCTTTCTCTTGTGGAATCGTAAAGCAGCTCCGATGAATATAAACAGGAGAAGGAAGAAGACGACGGAAGCAATGATGGCTATTACAACCACTTTGTGGCGCTTGCTTCGGTCATCTTTTGTTGGAGTACCGAGTGTGACACACGGAGGCAATCCTCGAACAACTCCACACAGATCATTGTTATGGGCAAACCACTCCGCTGGGGCTCTTCGGAAAGCTGGGCTATCGGGAATTGGGCCGTCCAGTTCATTGTAGGATACATCTACGGTGGACAAGCTCGTCATATACGTTAGCGAAGATGGAAGATGACCCGACAAGGAATTATGCGATAGATTCAGGCTTTGCAGCATCACCAATTTGCTGAGTTGGGATGGAACCTCCCCTGTTAGTGAGTTGTGGCTGACGTCAAAGGTGTCTTGAAGGTGCACCAGATAACCAATGGCCAAAGGAATGGTTCCACTGAAGTTGTTGTTGTTAAGCTTCAACGATCCGAGGTTCGTGCAGTTGCCTAATTGATCTGGGATTCTTCCTGCCAAGTTATTGGATGAGAGATCAAGCAGTCGAAGATTGGACAGCATTCCAAACTCCAGAGGCACCTGGCCGACGAGTTGGTTGTTGCTCAAGCTCAGATTGTAGAGAAGGGTTAAGCTGCCGAAGCTCTTTGGGATCTCTCCTTGTAGGTAGTTGGAAGAGAGGTCCAGGTCCTCCAGTTTCGTCAACTGCCCAAACTCGGTAGGTATGACTCCGGAGATGTTGTTATTTGAGATTCTCAAGCGCGTTAGATCGTGCCATTTTGCCCAGTCCGGTGAGAGTGTACCGGAGAATAGATTGAAGCTCAAATCCATATAAGAAAGATGGGGATACACTCCAAGATATTGAGATGCATCCCCGGTGAGTTGGTTGTGTTCAAGACGGACCCTCACTAATCTGGTACAATTCTTCAAGGACGTAGGAATGGCGCCTTGGAAGTTGTTCATGTAAAGAGTGAGGTACTTTAGGGCTCCACCTTTGCATATGTCTGGGGGTAAATAACCGAAAAAGTTATTTTTTGACAACTGGAGTGATATCAGTCCAGTAATATTGTTGATCTCCATAGGCAAAGGTCCAGACAACAGATTAATGAGAAGACATAGATATCTGAGTTTGCTTAACATACCAAGCGACCGAGGGAATGAGCCAGAGAGCTGGTTCACCTGAAGCGATAAGAATTGAAGTTGGGTCAGGTTTCCAAGACTCGATGGGATAGACCCGGAGATTTGGTTCTGTTCGAGAAGTAGTTCATTAAGCTTGGTCAATCTCCCCAGAGAGGAAGGGATTGGACAACAAAGCTGGTTGCTACCAAGATGCAAGAAATTGAGTTGGGTTAAGTTTTCCATAGATAAAGGAATAGAACCTAATAATAGGTTTTTGGAGAGATCTAGATTGTTGATCTTACCTAGATTTCCAATTTCAAATGGAATAGAACCAGACAATTGATTATCACTAAGGTCGAGGGACTTTAATTTGGTCATATTTCCTATAGAAAAAGGAATTGAATTTATTAATAGATTTTTCGAGAAGTTGAGAATTGTAACCTCAATAAAATTTCCAATCTCAAAAGGGATAGAACCTGAGAGCTGATTTTCTGATAGCAAAAATGATTGTAGCTTGGTTTGGTTTCGGAAAGAAGATAGAACTCTGCCTGTTAGATTATTATTGGAGATTGATAAGTAAACGAGATTAATTAGATTTTTCAATTCTTGAGGAATGACTCCAGTCAATTGATTTTGGTAGAGATCCAAGTGGTAGAGCTTTGTCAAATTTCCTAAACTAGAAGGGATTGAACCAGATAGCCTATTGACCCCAATATCCAGATACATCAACTTGTGGAGCCTCCCTAACTCCTTAGGAATGACACTCATAAGCTTGTTATCTTTCAGGGACAAGGACACAAGGCTGGTGAGGTTGCTAAGAGATGGAGGTATAGCACCAACCATTTGATTATGACAAAGACTCAAGAATTGAAGCTCTTTCATGGAGCCCATCCCAACTGAGATTTTGCTTGTGAACCGATTGCTGGTGAGATCAAGAGATACGAGCCTGGAGAGAGCAGAGATGGTCGGAGGAATTACCCCACCGAGCTGATTGTAGGAGAGATTGAGATGGAGAAGCGATTCCAATGTCGAGAAGTCAAGAGCATCAAGTGACCCTGCCAAGCCCATGCTCGACAGGGATACCTTGGTGATCGCCGAACGCCCTCTACCAGCGACGGGGTAATTGCAAGTAACTCCGGTCCAATTGCAAGGACTAGAATTGAGGTTCCAAGATCTCAGGGATTGACGACTCATAAGAGTGGCTTTCCAGTGGAGCAAAGCCCTCCCTTGGGATCCGAGTGAAGCTTTGACAAGAGGAACACGGGGAAGCAATAGCAGCAGCAGCAACAAAGTGGCACAAAACAAAGTTTTGTGAAGCTGAGATGCCATAAGTGCAACATACAGCAAGACAAGAAGGCAAATATGTGATTTTCTATTACATGGTACTTGAGCAAACGAGGTAAGGTATTTATAGATGATACAGATCAATGAGTGCATCTCAATATTATTGACCAATTCTCTCATGCATGCGTCTGTCATCAGAATTCCACAACTATTACTCAAAAATTCCTTTTCGATGATCATGACATCCAGTGGTATGCCTGCCACTTAGACTTTTCCTCTCCTATGTTTTTTTTTTTGTCTTTGGCATGAAAATTATTTTTTTTTTACTCTTATTAAATGAATCATACAGCGATGTCACAAGTCCACGCAGGGGTCTACGGGACGGGAGATGATGTGGTGAATGCTATACCATGTTATGTAATGTATCGTAGCTTCCACTGAAGTTAAAAGATACAAATGGAGAAATCAATGTTTAGTGTATCTCAGGTCGTGTTAAACATGTCACTCTTGCCACCTTGATTCTCTTTGGAGTAACTTTTTTTCGTTGTGTAAATAACAAAATGTTGCTATATTATCAATCAAGTGGATATGTAAGAGAGGAAGAAAGATATTTTAGACAAATTTTGGTGGGTTTGTATTTTCCTATATCAGCAATTAATTTGATAAGCTATGCCAGAGCACAACGGCTATGTTGAATTATATGTTTTCTCTTTAATCATCAATTTTTTCTTTTTTTTCTTGAAGAAAATAATAACTCACCAAATTGAGTATATATGTTTCCCTTTTGTTGGGAGATTAAAACTTGCAAAGGTCATTATGAAAATACCATATCAATATCCCTATATATATATACATGTACATGTACATGTATGTATGTATATATACATATATACATGTATATGTACATATATATATATATACCTCTTAGGTCAAGTCAACTCAACCATACCAACTTTGAGGGTCTTTTCTAGAAAGTTGCTTAGTACTCGTGTGAGAAGGAGATAAAAGGATTTATACGAATTGTCAAAATTATAGTTGAGACGTATTACTTTTGGATTTTATCAATCTTGTCCAAATATGACTGGTAATGAATGAGATTCGAGCCAAGATTTTAATGGGACTCGTATTTGCTTATGGTCAAATTATTAGAAAGATGTCACTATCCCCGGGAGGTCTACGGGTGAATACTATTACCTTGTTATGTATGGTATCGTACTGTCCACAAAAATTAAATGATACAAATGGAGAGATCACCTTGTGATGGATCATAAAACGTTGCTATAGTAGCAATCAAGAGGATATGTAAGAGAAGAAGAAAGATATTTTAGAAAGGAATTTGATGGTTTTGTATTTTGTTATATCAGCAATTAAGTTGATAAGCCGTACGAGAGGATGACATCAACGTTGAATTATATGCTTCCCCTTTCATCGTCAAATTTTCTTTTTTTTTTTCTAAAAAAAACTAATAACTCAATAAATCGACTACAAATGTTTTGAGGAGAGATTAAAAACTTACAAAGATCACCATGAAAATTTTGTTTCACAAAAAGATGATGTTTTGAATGCTCCGTGTCATGCACGTTGCATGGTATCGTGCCAATGTAGAAAGATGCTGGTGTGGAGAGATCAATGTTTGGTGGATCCCTTTGTCGTGTTTGACGTGCTCCACAGTAATTCTCCTCATAGTGGCTTCGTCAGTCAAGTGGATATATAAAGGACGGAGAGAGATATTTTACACAGGAACTTTTAGTGGTGGTGTATTTTGCCGGATCAGCAATTAAGTTGATAAATCATGGGAGAGAACAACTTGTATGTTGAATTATGCTCTTCCGTTGCTAGTTAGTTTTTTTTCTTCTTGTTTTTCCAAAGAAAGGAAAAGCTAATAACTCAACAAATTAAGTACAAAAAACTTCTCTTTCTTCCGGAGATTAAAAGCCCACCTAATTTGTATACCTCAAGTCAAGTCAAGTCAACCATATTAATTTGTATACCTCAAGTCAAGTCAAGTCAACCCTGCCAAAATATGAATGAGATTGAAAAGTCGAGCCAAGATTTCAATGGGACCATATTGCCTTGCCATATGGCAGTTTAAGCATGTCTTTATCATCTTCTCGGAGTCGAACCGGCAGTATACGATTTAAGTTGGGCCATACATCGCATTTCTCGTCCACTCTCATCAAATAAGCAAATTCTACAGCAAAGAAAAACAAAGCATCACTGAAGTGTTTGTTCGATGATGACTTCACATAAGCCATCTGATACACCTGGCAAGCTTTGATATCAAAAGCATAAGAGAAAACCATAACATCGATATATATTATGTTGGATAGTTTTAGGAGAAAATATCATAGACGTTGAAATCAGTCTAACATGATTCGACTATACATATGCAAGAATGATGAGATGTTGTGGAGACAATCATTAGAGGTCTTGTGGAAGTTGATGTGGGTACTCTTATATGCTCTGTTGATAACTTAGACGAAAATCAAAATTGAGAATATATTTCTTAACCTGATCATTAGACAATCATTCTGATGCCCATGTTAGCCTCAATGTGAGGTGAAGGTGGTAAAAAGTTGATTGACATCAATTCTTGTGCAGGTAGACTTTTATATAGACTAAAAAGGTATAAAATGTTCTAAAGAATATTCTTTGAGAGGACTATCCATAACTATTTTTAACGGCCCCTCTTATACTCTTGTACATGTAGACAGCAAAAAGGAAAAGATAGTTCATAATCGTATGATTTAAACTTATATCCACATGAGCAAAACAAAAGGACAAGCCTTGTCTCCCCTATGCCAACTTGGTAGTCACATATATACCATGTGTGAATGATAATTGATCAATAATATTTTTCCTATTAGATAGTGGCAA